ATTAACATGATTTTCAGGATAAATTCCAAGAGAAAATTCTCCTCGTGTTGTGATATTAATATAATATATTGATATTAATCAAAATATTTTAATTTAATAAACATTGTTTAAATTTTTTCTTTATTGCCATACTTTTCATTTAGCATCTTTCGCTGATGTTTGATTATACATAAATTTAAAAATATTTTTATTACATTTTATTATTATTATTTAATTAAAAAATAATCGTACAGCAAACTGTTGGATTTCTCGGCAGTCTTCTGCTGATTAAAGGAGACAGTCTTAATGGACTCGCGCGCGCAATTTATCATCCGGAATCATGATTCTGCGTAGACGATTCGCAGAGACGCTCGATCACGCTTCGTCCTCGTTAATAGACAGTTTTCGCGGTATACTTGGCGACTATGTTCCCGCGTTTGATACGTGTCCGGCATGATTTACGCTCATTGTACACGCGACTCGATCGTTTACCATATTCGTGCCGTTTTATTGCAAAAACTTTGTTTTTTAATCGGCGAGAAGCGCGCGTGCGCGTAGGCAGGTAGTTTTTCTTCGTAGAGTCCATTTCTCAAAGTGCGTGAATATATACATATATATATAAATACACGCACGCGTATCTGGCGGTTATTAATAAATTTCGCGGCAACGGCCAATACACAGTGGCCGCCGCAAATATCGTAATGCCAGGACGCGCGTCAAAAGTCGGGGGATATATCGACGCATTAAAACGCGCAATATTTATATACGCGTTGACGTAGGATGAACGCACACGGCATGTCAAATGCTCCGTTTATATCGTTTTAATATTATTCCCCAACCTTCGGAGATATCAAAAATTCAATGCCGAATGTATTATTCATAAAGAGAGACGACGCTCGTGTCATTTTATGTCTTTTATATTTTTTCCGACATTTTACGATTCGACAAAGTAATGCTTTAACCCATCTGTATAGTAATAATCTATCGAATGTGAAGACCTTTTTTTAATCGCAGATTTTTTGTTTTTTTTTTGTTTGCAGAACTCTCGTTATTAAAAATTGTGCAAGGTGAGAAGATGAAATACGTATCTAAGGATTCCATCTCTCTCTCTCAAGATTTTTCGCTTCGACATTTCACAACGGGGTGAAGCCTGGATAGAAGGAAGACATTCGTCATTTTTTCTGCGACCGGTGAGTTCTTATTTGCACAATTCGAATAGAATTCTGCATCGCATCGTCTGTTTCTCTTTGCCACGATTATCGAGTGATTTAGCGGCGTGCTTTGTGCGCCAAGAATGAACCGTGTAACTGGCTTTTAACGGGCATTATCGTTAATTCGATCGCGCGACACGGTCGTTAATAAGATATATGTCGCCGGCTATATAAGAAACCGGCTAAAGAGAACGATCTCGTTCCGTACTAAAAACCTTCCAACCCTTCGTATATTCAGGAGCTAAATCATATACGATCTCGAAATAAAAATCTATATTGCAAGATATAACAAGGTTGTTAAGTCGCCTTCAGGCTCGAAATCTTTATAGAGAATATATTATTATGGGTGCGCACATGCACGTGGCGGAAAAATTGAGTTTTAATTTTGCAATCACGAAGAGCGACACTCGATTTTTGTAGACAAGTAGACAACGAAGGGTGGAAAGAGCGAAGGGGGAAGATTTCGCGTCGGGATGGGGAGGAAGAGGAGAGAGAAACGTTCATTATTCTATTCCGGCGAGGCGAGGCCGGCAATCTGGTCTTATAAAATAAACCACTCTAGCTTGCTGCTGCTCGCGGTCGGCGCGATGTGTCAAATAAATCGTAGCTCGCTTCTTACAAGCTTACTTGCAACTTTACTCCTACCTCGTCCACCCGTTTTCTCTCTTTCTCCCTCTTTCTTTTCAACAGCCCTTCGAATCTCTCGTCTCGCATTCATGAAATAAATCCTTCGCGAGTACTTTGACGCGTCTCTGCATAAGGGAAAGAAGAACGAAGTGCCGAGAAAACTCAATACATCGCATACTGTATACAGAAACTTTATTATTCGAGGATGTTTGCATCGCGAGAAGATGTCAGTCGTGACTTTGACTTTAACTCTTAAGTTACTTAACTATCGCTGGAAGAAAATATTTAGAGAGATGAGTGTAATTGAGAGACAGAATATATGTATTATATATTTTTTTATTTTGAGAGTAAAATTTTTAAATTTGATTCAACAAACTTTTCAGATGATAATTTATTCAAAAATCGAGTTCCGCATCTTCGATTAATCGTTTGAAATCGATATATACATATACTATTCGGCATAATGAAGCTCTCTCGCAAGAGATCGAGTCTTTTTGTCTTTGGACGAGATGTTAATCAGCAATTTCGCCAGAGATAGCGTGGGTATCACCGGATGTGAGACAAACTCATGCGAGCCACGCGATCGCGGACAATACAAGCGGGGCAAAGAAGAAACGCTCGTGTAATTCATCTAGCGTGTATATTATCGTTCGCGCGGACCTGCACGCTCGCGCCGTTTTATTCCGTGTAAACACCGGAAGCGAACACTGTTACCCGCTTTATGATTCGTTCGTAAGACAATCCAGCTTTCTCTCTCTCTCTCTCTCTCTCTCGCGATGTTTCAGTTCGTTCAGCCCGCATTGACGACTACCGGTTTGTAGTAATTCACGAAAAAGCCGACGCGCCAAAAGTCACATTTTATTTTCGCGCCGAGAAGAAGAGACAGGGTGTCTAGCAGGTAAACCGGACATTGTCAGGAAATTTTACTATTTATCTGGATTTTTTCACATTCTACATTTGTCTCAATAATTTAAATTTTTATTAAATGAATATAAACTTTTTCTTATTTGCTTCGATTATCGTACATAATGCAGATTGTATATATTTGGTTTAAATTTTTGTTTTAACTTCCGAACCTTTTCATTGCTGACAAAAATATCTCAAAGATTTCACATTTAATTGATTTATTATATATGCAAATATATATTTAGAAAAAATAATACGAAAACGTCAGGAAAAAATTAATTTCTGGTCTTGGAAAATCTGAAAAAGTCAGGGAATTTTTTCATTCAATCCACTGGACACCCTGTTTTAGTTCGTCCAGCCCGAATCGACAACTACCGGTTTGTAGTAATTCACGAAAAAGCCAAAAGTCACATTTTATTTTCGCGCCAAGAAGAAGAGAGCTTCTCTCGAATCCGTCGCTCGGTTTTTTATTCCACGTCGGCGAGAGCGATCTACCGAGAGGGGATTAAGTACTCTGAAACACCATTATTCTCTATGAAATGTTTGTGTCGTTAGCTAAAAATGCTCACGGAGCTGCCAACGATTTACTCCGGACGATAATCTGATTCATCGTCCAGGATGGTGGAAGGAGGGAAGAAGATCTCGACAAACGTGCGCGTTTCTAAATTCCCTCTTCTTTTCTCTTTCTTTCTCGGTTATTCATTCGCGCGCGCGACGTTCCCTTTCTCGATCTGGAATTTGGATTAAAGGAGAGCTCGAGACCGTCGAGACACGCGAGGGAAGAGATTAAGTAAAGCCGGAATAAATTACCTCTCCTTTCTCCCGCCTGCTAAATAAGCCGCCTAGTCTGGCCGCGCAAGGGGATGAACTTTGCTCGCATAAAGAACTCATCGAATTAATCGCTCGGTTCTTTCAGTCAGTCTCTATACCGAGTGAGTGTGAAGTTCTTTGCTCTTTTTGTCTTTTTAGTCAAAGTTATAATACCCGTATAATCTAACCTTCGGAAAGCGACCGAGGAAAGTCGTCTACCGTATCGCGCCAAGATCTTTCTTCCAAATTAATTAGTCGAGCAATTAACTGATCACCTTGCCGCGCTTCCTAATAATTACCTACGCGCTCTCTAATTATTGATGGCGGCGAGAAGGAGAGGCTCTTAAGCAGATAATAAAATAAAAATGAGAAATGACAGCCATTAAATCGTCATTTCATCTTCGAGATTAAGGTTCAAGGAGCTATATTTAATTATTTGATCAGACTTTTTATATACGTTCTTCGTTGTGTTAGCTTATCGTTTATCTAAAATATACACTTGACATTTTCGATATCGAGAGAAAGAGAGAGAGAGAGAGAGAAAACGAGAAAAATGATCATACATTAAAATGAAAGTTTTCCATTACGCCGACATATCGTGTTTGGTTCGCGCGCCTGCAAGACGCATCGATCACATAGGGAAATAAATGGCACGAGTCTGCTTAATCGACCAACGAGGCAATACCAATTAAAGTTGCATTCCCGAACGATGTCCTCCAGCACTCGCATATGTACGCACGCGAGCAAAACCTATCGATAAACATCACGCGCGTCATCGCTCCGTTCCTTAGCTACTTCCCGATGACGCCGACGATGCATTTTCATGCATTCCCGCAGATAATTGCCAGCAATTCGGCCCTTACTTTTCCCATGCATTCGCAACGTGTTTTTAATTACCACGTTTGTAATTGGCTACATTAATTTAATTTAATTTAATTTATTAATTACTTAACTTATGTTAATTATTATTATTATTAATATACACAGAGAATTTTCATTTAGAATTTACCCCGAAAATCATAATAAGATATAAAATATGTTGGATTAATTTCATTGTACATATTATTAATATTTTTTATCGCGATAAATATTAATCAGAGTTAATCTCTGATTAAATTCTCCCACAATTGCCATAAAAAATTTTCAGGGTAAATTATTTAAGAGAAAATTCTCTCCGTCTAATTATTCAATTTTTCATCGATCCAGTTTATTAGTGTATAAGCACACAGTAAACAATGTTTCTCGCTATCTTTCCAATTTGTGATAATAGAAAATGAGTCATACATTAGTTCCAAGTAAGCGCGTTTACTATACGGAATGAATGAAGGGAACTTTGTATATATAGATTTCGATAAATCTTGCGTAGTAATTTTCGCTCGACGCGAGATTACTCGTCCAATTTCAGCTTCGCCCACGTTCGTCTCGCGTCTGTATCTTCATCTTATAAGTACGGAGCAGCGTACTCACCGTATTGCGAGGTTCGCGATCTCCTTTCCGAGAAAACTCCTTCGATGGCGTCTCGAAAAACTCCCTCCTGGCTGCCTTTGAGATGCTTCTGGCGCTTCTGGCTTTTCTCAATCCGCTCTCAGGAACTCAAAACTCTGTCTCTCTCTCTCTCTCTCTTTCACTCGAACGCACCCGCAGCACGATCTCGAGGGAGGATCGAAGGAAAAAAAAACTTGGGACCGGCGAAGAAAAGCTACGATAGAGTCACACCGTCGAAAGAGATTCGCGTCCGGAAAGCGAACGGGAGCTCTTGTGATTCACTGTACACGCATTCCCGCTGTTATTTCAGGCCGACGGCGGCGCGTCATTCTAGATCCTCCATCGCTCCTCTTTTCCACGCGCGTTCCATCCTCCGTCCACGAGGAGTCTCTCTCTCTCTCTCTCTCGTTCTTGACGTTTCTCAAAATCCCATCACCGGGAAGTGGTCCATCCATTCACTGACACTGATCACCCTCGACGGACTCGTTCGATTTTTTTGTTCTTTCACCACAAATATCGCGCTCTCGAGATCGATCACGCGGAATCGATCCGGGTGGTGAGTTCTTCGGGGCAACTGGCGATTATTATACGCGCGTCCGGTCGCTCGCGATGCTCGTTGCGCTCTGCGGGCTTCTCTAGATCTCGTCTGCGAGGCGCTGCGGCGACACTGACGGGACAGGCACCACTCCGATAGGAGAGGATGTGCACGAGGAAAGCTCGGGGCGAAGTGCCAGAAGAGCCGTTTGCTTGAAATAACCGCTCGTCCACGCTCGCGTTCCCTCCGCAACCCCTCTGTCGATCTCTCTTTCTCACTTGTTCTCTTTCTCTCTCTCTCGTCCCGTTTCCCCACTACTCGACCAAGTGCTCCGATAGATCGTCGGCGAAACCTTCTGACTTTACCCCACTACTCCGACGGGCATCTTCGTTCTTCTCGTTCTGACTTTCTAACGCCGCGGTTGCTCGCTCTCTTTCTCTTTCTCTTCATCCTCGCCTCTCCACTTTTTCTCCTACCCGAGTTCGTCGCATCGTGCGTGCGCCGCTCGTACGCACATGTGTAGTACGAGATGCAGTTTTCGCGCCATTCCGAGAGACGCGCGAAAGCAAAGCCGAGGGTTTTATTTCAAATTCTGGAATTAATTTTGCTTTAGAAGCCTTTTTGAAAAATTGGCGGGAAAATAGTTGTGCGTAGATGGATCGAGGAAGGACCGTCACCGTCTTTAAAGACGGGTCGACTATCTTAAGTAGGGTCCGACCACTTTGTTGAAACACGAGAGAATGCATTTGATACTTAAGGGCGCTCTTTTCCCTTTTCCGCTTGTGGTATCGAGACAATTGTGCGAATCACCACCACTTCGCGGATCATTTCGATGGCGCTTTGTGACCGTCAGCTTGCTAGGTTGGCCTATTTTTCTTTCGTCGTGCCACCGTCTCCGGAACACATTCGGGACATGTGTCGCCCGAACGTCGACCACCTTTTTCGTTTCCCTCGGGGACACACCATGATTGTTAGAACAGTCGAGATTACCAGCCTTCCCTCTCTTTTTCTCGCTTTCTCTATCTCTCCGTCTATACGCGTCTCCCTTTTCCACCCCCTGGCGATGTCTGTCTCCGTCCGTTATTTATAGAAAGCCATGATGACTCGCCTAATCGTAACGACCTCACGGCACAGAGAGACTTCACGGATACCTATTATTATCCAGTCGAATTAATTGAAACTCGCTCGGGGCAATCGTCAGCCGTAGCAATTTATATTTGCCGTTTGTATAAAAGGGAGCCCTTCGTTATTTATATTTAACCCTTTCTCATGTATCGGATACGCTTTTGCGCGCATTTTCATCTTCTTTCGCGCGTAACGCTTAATCCACGGTGTCGTTAATGGAGCACTCGCGAGATAATTCGTCGCATCGGGGGCTCGTTTGTCTCCCGAACGCCCGTAATTCTCCCTCTTTCTCCCCGAGAATGATTCATTGATTTATTTTATAGTTTAATGCTAAGTGGCGACGCGCGCGCACCTAAAGATTTATCTAGGACGCGCTGAAAGTAAGGACCTTTATCGTGTCACGTATATAGTACCTTCTAAATATAAAATCTTTATAGCGCCGCGTAAAAGCGAGATCTCTCCCGACCCTTTCGGTTTATCAGGGAGTCTATAGGGAATTTTGGAAAACCGGGGATTGCCAGGGAATTTGATAAATCTGGAATTGTTAGGAAATTTTACTATTTATCTGCTAGATTTTTTCACATTCCACATTTGTCTCAATATAATTTGAAATTTTTTATTAAATGAATATAAACTTCCTTTGACTCCCAGCACGCTAATTTTCTGTGTTGTTAAAAATCGATTTGTTCATTTGTATTTTCATCATCGTGTTATTTTATTTCAATGTGGTTAGAGATAAAACTAAATGTGTTTTTTTTTTTTTTACTTTTGATTATCGTACATATAATGCAGATTGTATGATTGATTTAAATTTTTGTTTTTTAACTTCCGAATCTTTTCATCGTTGACAAAAATATATCTCAAGAATTTCATAATTTATCATATAGATATATACAAATTATATATTTGGAAGAAATAATACTAAAAAGTTGAAATTTTTTATTAAATGAATATAAACTTCCTTGACTCCCAGCACGCTAATTTTCTGTGTTGTTAAAAATCGATTTGTTCATTTGTATTTTCATCATCGTGTTATTTTATTTCAATGTGGTTAGAGATAAAACTAAATGTGTTTTTTTTTTACTTTTGATTATCGTACATATAATGCAGATTGTATGATTGATTTAAATTTTTGTTTTTTAACTTCCGAATCTTTTCATCGTTGACAAAAATATATCTCAAGAATTTCATAATTTATCATATAGATATATACAAATTATATATTTGGAAGAAATAATACTAAAAAGTTGAAATTTTTTATTAAATGAATATAAACTTCCTTGACTCCCAGCACGCTAATTTTCTGTGTTGTTAAAAATCGATTTGTTCATTTGTATTTTCATCATCGTGTTATTTTATTTCAATGTGTTTAGAGATAAAACTAAATGTGTTTTTTTTTTACTTTTGATTATCGTACATATAATGCAGATTGTATGATTGATTTAAATTTTTGTTTTTTAACTTCCGAATCTTTTCATCGTTGACAAAAATATATCTCAAGAATTTCATAATTTATCATATAGATATATACAAATTATATATTTGGAAGAAATAATACTAAAAAGTTGAAATTTTTTATTAAATGAATATAAACTTCCTTGACTCCCAGCACGCTAATTTTCTGTGTTGTTAAAAATCGATTTGTTCATTTGTATTTTCATCATCGTGTTATTTTATTTCAATGTGGTTAGAGATAAAACTAAATGTGTTTTTTTTTTACTTTTGATTATCGTACATATAATGCAGATTGTATGATTGATTTAAATTTTTGTTTTTTAACTTCCGAATCTTTTCATCGTTGACAAAAATATATCTCAAGAATTTCATAATTTATCATATAGATATATACAAATTATATATTTGGAAGAAATAATACTAAAAAGTTGAAATTTTTTATTAAATGAATATAAACTTCCTTGACTCCCAGCACGCTAATTTTCTGTGTTGTTAAAAATCGATTTGTTCATTTGTATTTTCATCATCGTGTTATTTTATTTCAATGTGTTTAGAGATAAAACTAAATGTGTTTTTTTTTTACTTTTGATTATCGTACATATAATGCAGATTGTATGATTGATTTAAATTTTTGTTTTTTAACTTCCGAATCTTTTCATCGTTGACAAAAATATATCTCAAGAATTTCATAATTTATCATATAGATATATACAAATTATATATTTGGAAGAAATAATACTAAAAAGTTGAAATTTTTTATTAAATGAATATAAACTTCCTTGACTCCCAGCACGCTAATTTTCTGTGTTGTTAAAAATCGATTTGTTCATTTGTATTTTCATCATCGTGTTATTTTATTTCAATGTGTTTAGAGATAAAACTAAATGTGTTTTTTTTTTACTTTTGATTATCGTACATATAATGCAGATTGTATGATTGATTTAAATTTTTGTTTTTTAACTTCCGAATCTTTTCATTGTTGACAAAAATATATCTCAAGAATTTCATAATTTATCATATAGATATATACAAATTATATATTTGAAAGAAATAATACTAAAAAGTCTGGGAAAAAATGAATTTCTGGTCTTGGAGAAAATCTGAAAAAGTCGGGGAATTTTTTTCATTGACTCTGCTGGACACCCTGATCTACGTTTCCTGAGTGATCAATGAAGGTGTGATCACCGAAGGCCTCTCCGCAAGAGAAAGAGAGCCATTATACTGTGCAATTTTATACAACGTATCTCAAGGCCTTAAAGAAACTCCAACAAGTATCGATGATCGATGGATATCGATCGTTAGCTTCAATAAGCATGCCCCATCGCGAGATCTGTATCGCCTAACTCGCGCGTTTGTTTGCTCTGCCTCTTCTGGATCTACGAGGAGCCGAGATCGTTATTCACTGCGGATTATCCGGCTAATTAGTACGTGTCGGTATAGAGATGCGAGCGTACGATAGGACGCTGCCCTCTCTCGCTGTCAAGCTCGTCTCGCTGTCACTGATGGAAAACACCTTAAATCTTCCACCGCCACTCGCCGGCTCTCCTCGGAAACGAATTAGCCGCTCGTATGTATAAATAGTTACCGGTAATGTGCACAAGAGAGAGAGATCCTCAGAAACCGCGGAATGCGTATCGCGCGCGGTTTGGTTGCCACACACTGAAAACAAATCTTGTTACAAAAATGCTGTTCGAAAATGGACGAAACAGAATTACTGCGGTTGAATCTACCAGAATTCCTTTTAACGCAACAAGCATCTTGTTTGCACAATAAATCAGGTTTTTGCTTTCGAACAGAATTTTTGTTAATGTAACAAATTTTTTCAGTGCAGAAGTACGAAGTTATATGGCTGATAGGTTACAAGTTACACTTTACAGTCCCGGACTAACAGAGATAACAGCATTTTTTTATAATAGAATATTTTTTTAGTCGCACGCGAGGTACAAAATTACAAATTCGAACGAATTCCCTCCACGTGAGTATTCTTGATTTACCGCGGAAAGAGCGCTTCTTCGAGCGAACAGAGCACGAATTATGAGGGACGGAGAAGAGGTGTGAAGTCGGTGTCGAGGGAGCGTCGAAACGAGCGCGGATGACGGAATTATTATTCTCAACCGTCTCTGTTTCTAGTTTCCTCGGCAGCTTTCTCCGTTCCTCCAATAAGATATAGCCTGTCTGGTTTCGTATATATACGGGAAATCCCTATCGGAAGCATCTGTTTGTTCAACATTCATAGTAAAAGATATATAGAAATTGTAAAGTTTTTTTACTCTCAATATTTGAACGGTGTAGGTATATCTGAAACATTGTAATTGAAGAAAAATTGTTGAAAGAGAGAGAGAGGAAAGTTTATATAAGATTATCTCGTAGCGCTGAGCTTGTTTGCGAATAATATTTTTAGATATACTAAGAGATATTTAGATGTCTGTTCAGCTGAATTAGATGCACTAGTTTAGAGTTTTTTGTACTCAATATTAGAAGGAAAGAGATAAACTCTGAACTAGTGCAGTCAGTTCAACTGAAAAAAAACAGACCTTAGTTTTAAATATGCATGTAATTGTGACATTTCTTAGTGGACGAGATAATCGTTTTTGTGAAAAATTACAAAGAAAATTTTATATT